CGATTCTTGATCTTATAAGGGGTGTAACGGCACATCGTTCCGACAATTAGAAGAAAGTGATGATTGAAAATCTTTGGGTATTTCTACTTTTGTTGGAAGACACTAAAATGAATATGGCGAAAATTAAATTTAATTTCGCTATATTGGGGGGTAATTGTTGACACACAAAGTGGAGAGCCCAATTCAAATGGCCCAAAGAAGGAAATGGCCCAAGCGAAGAAGCCCATCTAGAAAGATCAGGGTAAAAGCCCAACTAGAAATGTCATTAAATATGATGAAAGCCCAAAAATAAAGGTACGTTGTCGCCCAAGCCTGCAGAATGCTCAGATGTTGAGCGAATAGAATACCCTGCAGTCGCCCAGAGCTATGAGTCCATCATCGCTCAAACGATTAAGTCGCCCAAAGTCCCAGTGCAGACAACGTCCTGTCATCATCCAAGGCAGTGGTTTCAAGCAATTTATGCCACATCCACGATCTAAGATCCAAGGCAGCGGTTTCAAGCAATTCATGCCACATTCACGATCTAAGAATCTCAATGGTATGGAGTCGTGTGGTGATAGTTATAAACGACAGTTTTTGACATGTTGCCCATGATAAAGAAAATGGGTGGTTTCAAGCAATTTCTAAACGATTAAAAACTGCCGAAGCCGTACAAAAGAAAGAGGAAGACAACGAAGATAGCCCGGAAAAAATTCACTCTCAAACAGAGAAATATGTAATTTACTTTTTCTTAGATTAATTTCAATTCCCTCGTACTTGTGTGCTTGCGCCCCTTAGAGGCATCTTGTTCGCGTCCAAACTGTAATCTTCATATTCAATAAACACCCATTTTTGGGATTTTGTTCCAAAAGGTTTGTCTCTTACACAATCGTCTGATCCCTTTTTAATTGTTAGCGAGCAAACGCGCGAAACAGTAATCATGTATTTGATTAATAAAAGATATAAAGATTGCAATATCGGATAGAATTTATGGATTTAAAGTTACCATTTAAAGATTGCAATTATGGCTTGAATTTATGGATTTAAACTTACCATTCCTTTAGCCCATGTAATAAATAATGAAAAAAAAAATATATTTCAAAATTAAAAACAGAAATCAAATCAATATGTTTCAAATGTTAAATGATAATAGCATATTGGAGAGTAATATGAAATAAAATTTTGGTGTGATTCATTGCATTCATGGACATCTTTTATCTTACTTTTTTGGGTCAACAAAAAATCTCATTTAAATGTTTCTCGGTTTTCTATGGTAACCAGCAAATTGTTTGAGTTTATTACCTGATATTCGTATTTCTTTTTTACTAGCATATTATATTATATTGTACAAATATAAGTTGGTATTATATTGGGTCTATAAGTAAATATATAAGAGCAAGTCAGAGGAAAAAAGAATTATCAAAAGGAAGAGAAATGAATATGATAAATGTAGAGATCTATTTTGATTGAGTGCATCATCAATTAGATTAGGATGTGCATAACAAATCAATTACTATTCCCTTATAAAGCGAAAAGAATCAGTTTTTCATTCAATTCCATTACTCATTATAATTTTTTTTTTTAAATAACTACATAGCCCAACTAATTACTTGAGGGGTTAAGGAAATGAAAAGGCTAACTAATAAATGCTTGTAAATGAATTAATTAATGAATTAATATGAAATGAAGTTAGGAACTAAAAATTCAGTGTTTTCCCTGCTGTGATTGGTGTTCCGACTGCTCCGATTGGTTTTTACCACCTACAAAATGAGGTCAGGGCTTTCTCCCCCGTTGTACCTCCTGCATGAGAATTAGTGTTCAGAATTAGAAAATATTGAGAGTCTATATTGAAATTCAGATAATTCGGGTTTTCAAGAAGAGCTACCATTTTCACCTTGGAGGTATTTAAAGGCACCTGTTGCTGTACGTGCATTTGGCGGTTGTTGGTGTCACGTGTCCCACGTAAACCTTCCAACTTTCTCTACGTTCTAGAGTTGTGACACCTACTCGTCAAGCGGTTGATTATACCCACGTTCGCTGTTGAGCGATTTTCGTCTAACTCATTGCCATTTGTTTGGCCAAGTATGATTTTGGTCGCTTGGTGGTAGGCAGCCCAGTGTGAACGTAGAGGGCCTCATGGAGGTTGACGGCCTCCTAGTGGTAGAAGGCCTATGTGTGTGTAGTGGGCCTCACGGGGGTCAATGTCTTGGGGGGTGCACATTAAATAGCTGACCATCGTGGAAAATTATCAACACCGTTTTATATCACCAGCCCCTCTGCCTCTTGTCGACATTTATTGATGAGAGGTAGCCTTTTCTGATGTAGAACGAGAGTTTAGGGTTCAAAGCGACTAAAAACAGAAAAACAAAAATAATGTTAAAACTTCATTAGCCCGATAGGAGGCCTTAAACTGCAAATTTGAGGGCGACCTCAATTTGGGGAACTTGGGTTGGGATGATGTAGAGCGCTGAGAGATATTTTCGAAAACATATTATGCCCCCGTTTGACACCCATTTTTTATCTCATTCTCATTCTAATTTTTCTACAGTATTCATTTCTAACCACACATTCTCCAAATAAAATAATATTACACATAAACCCAAAAATTCTTCTTACTTTTTAACCACACATTCTTTACATCAATCACTATTCAAAAACTCATTCTTCAAAAGAATGGGTGTCAAACACCCACTTTAATAGACAATCCGACAGATGTGTAAAACGTTATGGCTATTTCTTCGGAACAGCCCTTTTAGCTAAATTTTCTGTCCAATTCTAATTCAAATTCGAATTCCAATAGATTTTTAGTTATGCGGGGAAATTTCCCCCCAAAAAATATCAAGTTTTTCCAAAGCCATCCACTATTTAAGAGGTTGTGGGGCTCTCATCATCTCCTTTCACTCTTTTGCTATATTCTCAATCTTTTCATCTTCTCACAAGGTAATCTCATTCTTCCTTCTATTTTTGTCTCGTATTTTCATCATGTATAAAATATTCATCTCCTCATCCGACGAAAGGGAAAGAGAAGAGGCGAGGGGGCTGACCGACCCATCGTTGGATGGGTCGGTCGGCGAAAATTCGGCATCGACCAGTGCTGGTCGACGGTAGACTACTGGTTGACCAGCATCGACCAGTAACGTTGCTGGTCGACCATCTACCATTATCATGGCTGGCCGATTGTCACCCAACCGTGAGGCTAGTCGACGATCGACCAGCCCCTGGCAGGGGTCGATTTCTGTTGCAAATTTTTCTTTCGAAACTGTCCAAGTCCCATTCAAGTTGAATATTTCAACCCGCATGGCTGAATTTCAAGTTTTTTCTCCAATTCCTCGAAAACGCCATATTGGATCAACCAAATCCTCAAGCTAAAATATTGAGATAGAGCGTTATGCCGCGAGTAAGGAGATGATTCTTGACATACCATAAAGTTATAGCCTATACAACTCTCCATCCAAATTGGAAAATCACTCAAAAGACATATGTGGGTAGATCGTTATCTCTATAGAGCCCCTAGGCCTGACAAAACACTTCCAAGTTTCGACCCTTGGGAGGTCGTCATTTATAAAGACATAATGGATGGTGGTTTTCGGTTTCCCATTTATCCCTATTCGTCTTATTGTTCAACGAGTTTCACCTCACCTTGAGTCAAATTAATCCCATCGCGTGGAGAAAAGCTCTTTATTTCTTATATGTATGCCTTCGTAGGAAGATTCATCTCTCAATGGATCTTTTTAGATCCGTCTTTGAAATGCACGAGGTAGCCCAGTGCAGTGCTTTCGTTTATTTCACCACTACGGTCTCGTTTCGTTTTCCTAAGTTTAGGAACTCCAGCAGCGGGTGGAAATCCCGATTTTTCTTCGCTCGTCCCCCTATGGGCCAGTTTCCCTTTAGTACCTACATGAGATATCCGTTCATCCTTCTTTTCAATAGTGAGGTTGAGGTCACCCCACGTCTGAGAGCACACATCCAAAAATTGACCGAAATTCCACCACTTGCAGCTGACTTGGGGTCAGTACTGACATTAAGGAATATATTGTTAGTCGGGATTGGTTGTCCTACTCGTAGGTTTTCATTCCCTGTTCATATATATTATTTTTGAGAGTGTTGTTTCGTATTAAATGAGCTTGATTAACCTAATTTTTTACTCTCGAATATGGATCTTGACTTGGATGAGGTATTGAGGTCCCTACCCGAAACAGGGAGTGACGAGGGGTTTGCCCCTACGATGGTAAAAGTTTTATATGTC